GAACACAAGTCGAGTTGAGCTGCGGTGGTTGCTTCCCTAGGAAGATGAAAAGAAGTAACACAATGATATTAGAGAAGAGAAAACATACCTTCACTGCTTTCAGAAAGGCACAAAAACCCTGAAAGTATCTCTTACTGTCACCTTGACAGTTCCTGATGAGCTCTGTTCTGCCTTGGTTAGTAGAATACTTAAACGCGGGCACGGGCTTGCGGGGAGTGAAGTGCATGAGGGCGTTCGGCACGCTGTGTCTGCATCGAGTGTACGTACACCCCAAAACACATACTGAGGTGTATAGGCATATGTACAACGAACATAATGAGAGAAATACTTGATCAGGTAGACAGATTCAACTGCCAACAGAATGAAAGCCCAGCAACAGCAGAACGAAACGTACAGGCATGTATACGACACACCAGAGTACTGAGAGAAATACACAGATGCAAACGAGCAAAACAAACAAAATTTCAACAGGTCTAATAGGGAAGAAGAAGACAAACGTGAAGATAGTCCCACTTGCTCCACGTCAAGAACAGCGTGCCCTGAGAAGCGGTGTCGAAGGAGAGGTAGGCGCCCTCTTCATCGTTCTCTATAGGTCGTGAGTCTGTCCTCACGATGGACATTTTGATCTGCAGATAGAAAGAAGAAATTACACAGTCTGTCTCCCTTTCTTCAGTTGAACACAAACTGCACGGGAAGCTGAGCTGTGCATACAAGTAGAGGCAGGCAGACACCCACTACGGCAGTTTCACTGCGATTTGTAACAATGAAACATTTAAAAAAAAACAATAAATATAAATTGAACTGAAGGGAATCAGATGAGCAGCCACTCGGCCAACAACCCTCGCAATGTGCAGGCCGCGACGCAGTGCAGTGTTCGGCTCACGAGGCGGTAGAGAGGAGCAAGCGAGCTAAAAGTAGTGAAATTAAGGATAATAAATAAACAGATTTTCAAAAGTGGAGCATAGATTACTCAAAACAACAATACTACAGCCCCAGCAGCTCGGAATCAACCGACGACGAACACAGTGAAGCGACCAGTCGATGACCANACAATACTACAGCCCCAGCAGCTCGGAATCAACCGACGACGAACACAGTGAAGCGACCAGTCGATGACCACTTGGGCTTTACTGCTTCTTCAGCTGCGCACAACCCCAGAAACCGAAACATACTAGTGTCTTTGTTTGTATGCACTAATAGATAGATAATAAGACAGACTAACGATGTCCTGCACATTTACGTTGCCATCTGCGCTCTCAGCTCCACTCCCGGGTGCTCCTGCTGCTTGTGCAAGCTCAAGCATGTTCTCTCTGCTTCTTGCTCAACTGAGCTCTTTTTTTCTACATAATTAGACACTAGGAGAGGCCTTAGCTTTGTGAGTCCGCATTTAGCCTGAGGCGCTGTAATCTCAACCTGGGGCGGCGCAATTCGTCAGGGTTAATATAGCGTGATCTGTGTAGGATACACAGTCTGATGCTACCACGTGTGCTTCTATTTGCGTACACTACTAAGCACTTAATAAGTAAGTGCCTAACAATCGTCTACACCGATATTGCATGCAGCAATGGGGGGCTCAGTGATGCTTTGACCCGGGACTGCCTTGCCGCAGGCGTTGGAGCAAGGTGTAACGCTGGTTCTCCGGCCTTAACCTGACCGGAGACGAGCCGCAATGAAGGCAAAGACTTAAAG